AATTCTAAAAATTCTATGTTATATTTCATATAATCTGGTATAATTTTTAGCCTCTAGTTTTAAGTACAGAACGCTTTTAATATAAGCAAATATTGCGATTAACAGTTTAAAACGCTTAAAGAAACTTAAATGTAAATTTACTTATAAAATAAATATTTCAAATTTGTAATGTTTCGAATATTAACACCTATTAGGTGATACAAAGCGATGTTGATTGAATTTTAAATTTCCATCACCTAGTTAAATGTAGCATTAATATATAGTTATAAACATAAAACCGAAAATCAATTTAATTTATTATATCTTCAATATATTCTATTAAGTTTTGAGAATTAATATTTTTAATTATATTTATTAATTGCTTTCTTTTTTTTTGTTAAATTGATTATTATTTTAATTAAGCATATCGGATGAGCTATTAATGTAAATTGTTTTGCAAATTAAAAGAATTTTGTAATAGCAGTACATTTTATCATTCTTATAATTGCTAAAAGTATTATGCTTCTGAAGTATGCATATAATAATTTTGAATCTTAATTTTTAAGAACGTACAATTTTATCAAGAAAATTGAAGTAAGTTTGCTGAAATATATTGGCGGGCAAGTGAATGAAAAAAATCCAATTGAGATACTAAGAATGAGAACTCAGAAGAAAAGTTGAATTTGATGAAGGCGGTGAGTCGGAAAGAATATAGTATAACTTTAGAATCAATGTAATCGTGATATTGTCTTCGAAATGAAGATAGTTTTAAATTCTTAATAAATTCTCATCAAAATACAATCGGCGTGAGAAACGAGATGCGTGCTTGCGTTGGTTTTTGCCCATTTATTATAATTCTGGATATACAGGGTGGGCCATCTAGCGTTTGGAATTTCAACTATCGGTTATTTTGAGTTTGAAAGGCGTAATAACATTTATGACGTATCAGAAATTTAGTTTTTTGCTTGATATTTACGAAATGAGTCGCTATACGCTTGAACAAAATATTGAAAACTTACTTCCAAAGTAGTGAATCTTCAATCCAAACTGTAAGAAATTTACGTGGAAAATTTGGTAGAAAAGAAATGCCTTCAACGCAGTTTGTGGATCAATTTGTGAAGCGAATTCGGCAAATTGGATCCTTATTAAATAAAGCAACTCGTTCATGTGCTCGTCCAGTAAAGTCAACCGAAAACATTGCTGCTGTTACTCAGAGTGTGCTTGAACAACCATCAACATCAACTCGCCATCGTTCTCAAAACTTGAACATTTCACGCACTTCTTTGAGAAGAATTTTGAATAAAGACCTCGGTATGAAGCCTTTCCAATAAAGCCATAAACTTTGAAAAATATTCATGCGTTCTTTTTTTTAGAGCCAAATTAAATTCCAAATTTTAAATGACCCATCCTATATTTCGTTCTTAACAAGATTATCACAACCCTTTTCTCTCGAAGCCCCCTCAGATTTTAATCATTTAGTAATAGCATCATCTTTAAGCTTACAATACCTGCGCGACATTATGTTCTGTGGCACTTTATAAGCTGCCCAATTCCCAATACGTAACATCTCTAATTTACAATTTATACGGGATCTCAGTTTGCCATTTAATTACGGACAGTGTGTAACACGCGTCCAAGTTATGAATGATACCCTCGAATCACCGCACCGCGAAGCGACATGTCCTTCTTATTGAACAACGTAACGCTATTCACAGAAGATTTTGAATTATTAACTCTCAACGGGCCGATAATGTTTCACATGTGATATAGTCTGTGCCACATCCGGCGATATTTATGTCGGTTTTATGCTTTTATGCGTGGCGCGGTGGAATAGCAACGCCATTGTGCTGCATGCATTAATGATCTGCGTTGGGACTTTGTTATGTATCATGTGAAAAACGATGATATGGTCATATTTGAGACCGAATACAGAAATAATAGACGAATTCATATACTTTTATGACACAACTATTATGAATTTTTAATTAACGTAAAACGCAAATTAATTTTATCCGAGAGAACTCACAATTAAACCTGTTTATGTTCTTGTAAGATAAATATGCGAATATAAATTTAAAATTATTAATATCAATTTTATTAAAAAAATTTGTCCTTTTCCATATTAATTTTTCTTTTGAAAAACGATACGTATTGTACAAGTATCATTTTACGTAAACATAAAAAGATAAGTATATATATCAATACAAATCAGACACAAAAGTTGGTTTGAATAAAAAAATATTTTTTTTTTATTTAATGAATGCAAGCTTATAGACATGCAATCGATTAATTTTTTTATTATTAAATAAGGTTTTTTTGTCATTGAATGAAGAGAATTTTATTTTCGCAAAAAGCGAAATTAATTTCGACTGAAGATTTTATTGAAGTACAAAAAATTCAATTGAAAAATGTTAAAAAATATAGAATATAATTGTATTATCACATATTTGTATGTATTGCTTTTTTATAATTTTCAAATAACTTTTAGTAAAATATTTAATATACAATATTTCATT